ATCAATAATAATACAAAACATCCACAATGGGACAGCAGAATTAAATTAAAACAATGCTCATAATTCCAATGTTTTTCCTTTGCATTGAATCAGCCCATGTCGGGCACAAATGGAGGAGTTGTGGACTAACTCAAGAATATTGCCCCACTGGTCATCCTCTATATCAAGCCCCAGATCCTGTTCCCATAACTCCCTCATCTGCAGGGGGAAGACTGAAATGATGCAGTCCATGGCACTGCTGATATGTGAAATATTCCCTTTCTGATTGGGGTTTATCATGAGAAGAGTGTCTAATAATGTCTGTGGGGCGGGGAGATTAGGAAAATCAGGATAATATTTCTGAACAAAATGCCTAACTTGGAAAAAACGGAAAAGGTGCGATGATGGTAGCTTAAATGTAGCAGACAGATCAGTGAAAGACATGTAGGTCCCATTATCATAGAGATCCTTAATAGATAATATGCCACTATCAGACCAAAGTTGAAAGGCAGAATCCATAGTAGATGGTGATTGTGGAACACTGGAGCTAAGGTAGAGGGACCTTGTAGGCCAAAGTGCTTTCTAAATTGCAACCAAATTTTAAGCGACTGAGTGACCACTGGGCTAGTGCTGACATTAGTAACAGACACAGGAAGCCGGGAACACAACCATGACCGCAATGACATCTGAGTGGAAGAAAATTCCATTTGGACCCAGGCAGGTTGCAAGATAGTAGATTCGACGGTCCAGAATAACAGCCCAATAGTAATGCACAAAATTGAAATCCCCCCCAATTAAAAGGTGGTATGTTTCAACATTAGGAATAGAAGTAAAAAGCCTGGAGATAAATCGTTCGTCATCCCAGTTTGGTGCATAGATGCTAGCCAAAACCACCTGAGTATTGCACAATCTCCCTGAAACAATGACAAACCGACCACTTGAGTCAGCTATAATGTTTTCTGGCTCAAATGGAATATTATTACAGATCAAGATAGCAGCACCCCTGGCTCTCGCACTAAACTTTGAGTGATATAACTGATTGAATCTGCCCCTTTTAATGCGCTGAATCTCCCCACTACGTAAATGTGTCTCCTGAAGAAACACTATGTCTCCCTTCAGATCCTGAAGATGTGACATAATCTGATTTACTTTAGTATTCTGATTTGCCCCCTTAACATTCCAAGATATGAAATGAATAGTGTTCACTGACATGTTCTTATTTTCCATGCACAAAGTAATGAATCATCTTGTGATTGTAGAATACAATATCTGAGTATTGACCCCATAGAAAGAGGACAAAAATAAAATTAAAAAAAAGGGCGGGAGACAACAAAGATGGAATGACCCCCCACCCTCACCCATGCGTGTGCACACACACGCCTGTCCCCCATGCATGTTGCATGTTCAGTTATCTGCAACCATTAACCTACAGCCAGTTTTGTCCATGTCAAATTGCAAAACGTTAGATTAGCCTAGATAATGCTAGATATCGTAACCTGGACAATGATGTTCGACTTGGATCAATCCTCTTCCATCGGAGAGCTGTGCTTCTGATATGTTGTCAAAAACTGTTGGGCTTCTGTCTATTTCCGTCATCTGCCACGATGAACAGCCGCGCTGGATAGAGTAGTGAAGGCTTAAGTTTGCGCGTGTGTAATTGGTGCATGACCTCCTTGTACTCCACACGTTGCTCCATCACTTCAGGACAGTAATCATCGTATATGTAGATCGGCTTGTCTCTATATTTTAGTTCTCCTTGCTTCTTGCGGGCAGCCCGTATGACCAAGTCCTTAGTCTGGAATTTATGGAAACATGGCTTGTTTTCAAATCTGACGGCTGCCGGCTAAAGTTGTCTACTGCTCAGGCTTTTTCGAAGATTTTTGCCAGGTCCCGTAGGATTGACATACTGGTCGGCAGAACTTGTTCAAAAGGGCAACGGTGAGGTGCCTTATTTTCGCAAAGTTGAGTTTAAAATGAGATGATAACTAGTCCAAAAATATAAAAAATACTGGTGGCGAGTAGCCTGGAAAACACCCGCTACTCCATTCCCGCACACCAACCGGAAGTCCCGCTGCTTGAAAATCTTAACACAGGAAAAGGAAAATTAACTGAACCTTAACATCTAAGTACAGACTATTGTATCTCTTAAATGTGAACTTCATAAAGAAACAAACGTATAAGTGTTAAGACGATGCATTTTTGACATAATTAAAGGTAAGGCTGAGTTGACGATGCATGATTTTACACAGATGCAGATTGACAACAAATGCCCCAGATCATAGGCAAATTGTTGCTGTTTAAAGACACGATCAGAGGGCTTGCAGAGAGTTTACTGATGTCATGCAGATGCCCAAAGAATATCTATCAGACTAAATATCTGGACATGTAGGGGAGGCATGCAACAAGCTACAGAGCAGTCTATCTCTAGCACCAGACAGGAAGCAGAAAATTGGGTAGTTACTGAAAAAAACTCCTCAAATACCAAGACACACAAACTTTGTTATATGAGTCGTTATAAATAATAAAGTGCTGTATTTGTTTGAAATGGCAGATTCAGTGGGCATGAGTGGTGTCATAATTAAAAACAAAAATAAAACATGTATGTGCTTTTTACCTGTGTCTTTGCAGGGTTTGGGTCAAGAAGTGCTAAGGAGTTCAGTGAGAGTACAACACCTCGGCGTGTTTCTACATGTTTATCTGTGAACCAAGAGGCTCCCCAGGTGTGCAAACACAGGGCTTACATGTACCTGCCTGAAGGAACCAGCTGGATCTGGTGCAGGACGGTCTCTCAGGTATGAGGAGTGAGGCGGAGTTTCATTTTGTTGGTTTTCTTAGAATTTTATTACATTACAACAGAATCTGTGGCAAACAGCTGTGAATGGTTGTCTTGTAGAAAGATTTTTAAAACATCTCAATTCAATTCAATTTTATTTGTATAGCGCCAATTCATAACAGAAGTTATCTTCAGGACACTTTTCAAATAGAGCAG